CTTCCTGCCGTCGCCGGTGCCGCCGGCGTACCCGGAGCAGCTGCATGTACGGCAGAGGGCGGGCGACCGCGAGAAGCCGTTGCCGGAGAGTCCGCGGGCGCTGTATGAGGAGGTTGCGAGGCGGGCGTCTGGCGTTGCGCGGCCGCGGTAATTGTCGAGTAAGACGGGCCAATGCGTTTTGTGTAGTCGCTAGGCGCTGCAGGTTGCGAGCTCGTCTTGCTCGTAGACAATCGGCGCTCTCGGTTTCATGTAGAGCCAGCAACGTTGGTTTAGCTGGTGACAGCCAGCGCATGGAAGGTGTGTCAGGACGTATCCCAGGATGCTGCTAGTCTCTTTACTATCTGTCATTGCTGGCTTGTGCTACTGTGGCGATGGTGGTGGACACAGCCCGTTTTCGTTTCAAATTTACACTCTTCTCCTTTGAAGAGATTGTCTGCGCACGCATTGGATTAACGCGCGCGGGGGCCACAGAAAAGATAACGTACAACTGGATCAGCGATCAGTCACCGTGACAGAGCCACCAGACGCTTTCAGTGGATCTTGGGCTTGGCAAGTGTAGTGTCTCGGAGGCCGGTAAGAGCAACCATGGTAACTGCAGCGGGATTTATTGCATGCTCTGAAATTTCCATCACCGTCACAGGGATGTGGGTCTGCGCTACTGCTCGGCGGCCCTGGACCAATGTTGCCATGCCCTGGCGGTGGATGGTGCGTCGTCCGCCCATGGGACGCCCAATCGTTGCGAAGGGTCTCATTGATCGTGTTGACAGGCTGTGTATGTTAAGACTGAACCGGGTGGACGCTGACGGAGTTGCCAGAGGATAGTTCGCAGCAAGGACCCGGGCAGGAGAGTGGAGATAGCGCGCTCGGAGGAACAAAATGAATGGCTGGTGGATCACTGGATATCCCGGCGCTCGGAGCGAATCCGGAGGGCCGGGGAAGAGGTGGCCGGGCGGAGGCGATCGAGAGCCGCATCAGATCCCAGAATGAGTAGGGCGCCTTCCCGATACGGCAGGTGTTCTGTTGGGGGCGGCCAGGTGTCGTAATCAACACCGAAATGGCTGTTGACTTCTGTCCTCGACGCTCGCTCCCTGTCGCGCCCGTCATGGCCTCGGCGGCACTCTTCGCCATCGCTCTCTTTCTTCTCAACCACCACCATCCACTCATTTATAATCCGCTAATTCCCCGTCTCTCCTGAACCATGTCGTCCTCTCTCTCTTTCTCTCGTCGTCGCTCCCCCACCTTCTCTCTCCAGGATTTCTCCGAGCTCATCGCAAACGCATTCAATCTACCTCCTCCCCATCCCTCTCCTGCGCTTCTCCCCGCGTCGCCCCCTCCCCACTATTCGTCCACCCCTCCTCCCAGGCCCTGTTCTCCTTCCTCCAGCCATTTCGACGCCGACGAAGATGCGGATCCCATATTTCAATCAGAATCCACCACCACTCACTCCAACACAGATAGTACCCCACATGTGCGGCCATCCAAGTCGCGTTCCAGCGCCCTCAGCATACTGAAAAACGTACGCACGAGAGCATCCGCCCTCGTCCTCCGTCCATTAGACACAAACATCGATCTGGCAGCAACTCCACATGCCTCCACGCGTCCCAGCATCTCGTCTCAGGGTACTGTGGTCTCCAGAACAACCTCCTCCTTCGCTTTCCTTTCCCGTCCCTCTTCCCCAAGTCAAAACACAAGGCCCTTCCCTTCCACTTCCGGCAACAGTCTTTCCCTCGCACGTTCTCGCTCCCGCACAAAAAGTGTTCCAGACCGCGTATCTTTCCTAAAACTCCATCCTAAGCGTGAACTCGCCTCCGCCACTGTTTCTATGCCTGCTTCACGTCCCAGCCTAGGCGCTCTTCCCCAGCCGCCCGTCGATCTTCCTTCATTCTTCGAGGACACCGGTTACACGGAGCGCCGGCCGCCCCCGCCCGCATATAGTCGCCCCTCCACTCCCGCTGCTCCCACAATGCCTTCCCTGCGCGTACACTCGAGACTTCCCCCACTTCGCAAAGCCAAGAGCGCCTCAACAAGCATCTTCCGAGGAAAGCAGTCTAAGTCCAGGGGGGCACCGACAGCGGACACTGTGGCGGCGGCGGAGTCTCGCACGGCGTTTGATTGGAGCGCTTCTGGCCACCTCGAATGGCCGTTCGGTGCGGATGACGACAACTGCTTCATGTCCCCCAGGGATCCGCCTCCTGTACCACCACTGCCACCGTCTTTGGGTGGCCAAAAGTGGGACCTATCGGAGTGCGGTGATGTCGAAGGAGAGCTGGAAGTCCCAGCCTATGTGTTTGCGCGGCGGGGTAGCGCGACCAGTACGTGCACGAGCAGTTCGGTGGTGAGTATCCGCTCTATTCCCATTCCGTCGGAGTTTGTTTGTGCTTCCCCTGCGCTTGTGGGTGCAGTGCATTGCTCTTGTGCGTCAGGAGCGGCAAAGGCTTGGCTCATCCCGAGACATTGAATCTCCTGTCCCCGCCTTCTCCCGAGTATCTCGGAAGTGTGCCACGGGGACGTCTATTGAGATTATAATCGCGTCCTTCTCCATCAATATGACACAGACCGCTTATGGCGTCTGCCATTCACGATGCGAAGGTTTCGCGCCTCCCGATCCATTACACCCCCTTTCGCTTCCAAGGTATTAGGGTCTTGCCATGCCAGGAGTGCTTTATATGTATGCACTTGTTTGCTGTGGCCCCTGGCTAAGCATACAGTGGCGCATATATGACGGGCTGCGCACGACGTAGGACGGGGTGTAAGACTTCTTTCCGTTGGGCTTCCCTCCCTCGAATCATTCACCTATGACTGTTGGTGTTGTGTCCCCTGATTCGGCCCCGTTAGCTGACGTTTCTCGTCCTCGTGTTCGCGCGTTTTCGCAGAATTCCTGTAAATCGACATCAAGCCTCGGAGAGCGCATCATCGCTCTTCTTCCCATGGCAATTCCTTCGAAGGTGAAAGCTCGTGCACGCTCGAAGCTTAGCCTTGCTGTCACCACTGCGACGGCAGATTCGTCGCCTTCGACAGATTCGATGCGGACATGGTCGCCTGTCACTCCCACTGGCTTTGCATTCCCTCCGCATGGCATCGGACCAGCGCGCGTGTACACGCAATCCGAGTATGGTCACGGACACAATCAAGAATTTGAGGAGACCAGGGAAGATATGCACAGGATCGGTAGGGTCTTGACCCCCGAGCCAGACCCATTCGCTAAGGCGGAAATTGCGGTTTCAAAGGGGCTTGGAGAGGGTGTCAATACTCCGTCAAAACGCACGGCATGGGATTTGGACGAGATGGACGGGATCACTGGATATATTGATCCGCTCCTCCCTCGAACTCAGCTTGTCACGCCGGTGTCAAGATCGGCTGCGCGCAGGAGGTTTCCACCCGTTATGGACATCTTTCCACAACCTCAGGTGTCTCCCGCGTACACTTTCCCATCTTCGTGCTCCATTTACGTCAACCAAGACCGTGATGTGTTTCATGCCGAGGGACACAGCTCGCCTCTGACGCCGACTGAGACACCAAGGCTTGTGTCGAGATTTTCAACGTCTAGCGTGGGCTCGGGGTTTTCTAGCCGGTCTGACGAAGATAACGCGTCTGAGATTTATACCGCAAACGAGGACGTTGACGTCGATACCACGTTTGTCTTTGGGTCTCCCGCGTCTGTGCACGACGAAGCGGAAACCACAGTGGCTAATTTCTCGTTATCTGAGGTAATTCCAACCCCTCGTCCTCGCATTCTCGGACATGCCACAGTTCCGCAGCCACCTTCTCCACAGTCCCCAACTCGACGTAAAGCCTCTGTCCGCACTGTTGCATCGGAACCGGCTAGCTCGTCCCGAGTGACGCGTCCAGGCTCGCCCTTCCCTCTCATGCGCGGCGTGAGCGACGGTACGTTGAAGGGGCGGTTGGGAAGAAGCAGTATGGTGACTCCCAGGATCTCTTGGAGGGGTACTCAGACCACGAGCGACGACATCATTCGCGATGAAGTTGAAGATGATAGCAAGATGGTTGAGGATTCTGGAGTGTGGGAAGTGGACATTGACTGTGAAGATCTAGAGAAGAAAGGCGAAGAGGATTACCAAGCCCTTGAAGATTCATTCGTTCTCCCGGTGGTACAAATTGCCCAGATTCGGTTCCGCGAGGAAGAGGAGAGTGAAGAAACATGGCATGACGCCAAGTCCGCTTGTGAGGTATGTACGGCGCAGCATATTTGCAAGTGCTGTCGCTCATCTCTAACTTTCAGCCTACGTCCTCTCTGGAGATGATTTCAGAAGAACGACTGGCGTTTAACGTGTCGTCCTGCTCGGCGTCGAGCGCCCACCTTCCTGTCCCTGATGATATTTATACTTTGCGACCTTCGGGTGACTCGGACACAACGCTCACCCCGCAGAGGTTTCAGTCATCGTCATTCACAGCACAACTCCGCCGGAAGATTTCTGCCGAATTGCGTACTGGGAAAGGAGAAGGTCCGGAACGCGAGTGGGATCGGAGCACGGTGGCATCGGCGGCGTTTTCTGCACGCTCGAGTTCGCAGTCTAGCGTGTTCCACAGTGCGCGTTCGAGCATCGACTCTGAATGTGCTGCGCGGAATAGTATCTGAAGAGTCCAGATCCTCGTTGGTCAGGAGTTACCCTGGAACCCCGGGATATGTCGCATGGCGATCCCATACACTCATTTGTCTGCTGAACACTCCGCTTTCCGGCCGATTCTCCGTCGATCATTCCGCTATCACATTTGGTGGCAGCTTATTTGACTCTGGCTATCGTTCGCGCTCTGTTTGTGATTTGTTCTGACACTCACCCATACCCTCCTTTCATTCCCTCGTACCTTCTGAAGCGCCTGACCATACAAGCTGTTAATCTGCGCCTTTACCGTTGTCGTTGTATTAATACATCCCTACGTACTGTACTACGTCGTTCATTTGATTGTTTTATCTTCAAGCGTTGCATCGTCTCACTGGTGGCCTAGGACGTGTTGGTCATTATTTTATTAGGTAGTTTAAATAGCTGTTGTGCGCAGTAGTAGGTACTCCATTGTAGTGTTATTTCTTGTCTGCGGTGTTGGCCGCTAATTACGGCGTTGTCGTTGAATACTTCAATATCAGTTGATGTCTAATTCACTGTGGTGGTTATTGGTACGCGTGCGAGAATATGTGGATGGTCCTAGACCCAAACACTCCAATCTGAATTGAGCCCAACTTAAGAGTGATCCAGTCCAGGCGTCCCTTTGAACTTTCTTGCCTAACCAGGTAATTCTGTCAGCCGAACCAATGGCATCCGGTACACCACTCCTCGCTGTTGGTGCCGGTCAACCGTAACAACATCCTTATTGCACCCATCATGGTCTCTCATTCTCATTCTATCCTAAACTATCCTGGTGCAGGTGCACAACGCATCACACCCGATAATACCGACACCATCGGCTCTCTGGCATGGTCTCGTGCCCAGACGTGTCGAAGACACGTCTGGGTACGAGACCACTCTGGCGAGGCTTCAACAGATCGCTCAGGAGCACGGCCAGAGTAGCCTTTTTCATGCCATTCCCACTGTGCGCGAGAGCGGCGATGCACCATTCCCCGCACGCGAGAGCCTCCCGCGGGGCGCCACGGTGCTCCAGTGGGAGAACGACTCGGCTCTCCTGCGGAGCGTCAAGCTGTCCTCGGTCCTCGCCAGGGAGGAATATAAGGACCTCCTGGAAGACATCCTCCGCCTCGCCGTCTTTGGCACGGCGCCGGCTGTTGACCACGCAAATGACAGCGGCAGAGCCAGCGAGAGTCTCCTCGGTCAAGAACAGAGCCTCGAGTTTTGGAACCCCTTTATGAGCATGCCGCACGTATGCCCCTCCGCTGCTGACGCCATTGTGACCGGAAACACCGGTACTGGTGGGTGTTCTTACCATTCGAGGCCTTGAAACCGCCCTCACACATTTGTTGGAATGAGTAGGGAAGAGCACGTTCCTCCTTTACGTTCTCGCGCTCCGCCTCCTTGCGGGGCTGACGACCCTCTACCAGATGACGAGCGAGGAGGTGTTTGTCCTCGGGAAGGAGGGGGTCTTCCGGATCCCCTTCCCTTTTCAGCCAGAACAGCTGCAAGAGCACATCCCCCCGGCGACGTGGTGCCTGGTCGACTCAGGTCCGGAGGTGACAACGGTGCCCGACGCGTATCGCGCCCTGCGCAACCTCTGTTCTGCGTTTGTCCTGCAGGCAGCGCCCCTGTCGCCCGAGAGCAGGGCCTGGCAGGACACGTTTGGAGACCCAGTACCCACGCTGTGGATGCGCCCGTGGATGCTTGGATAGCTCCAGATTGGGTGCGTGTGGACCGTCGGGTCGCTGTATACGCATGTCCGTGCTGACCACCCCTCTGGCACACAGCGTGAACTGCCAGATATGGCACGCGCCCAACACCAGGCCCACACCCGCGGCACTGGCGGCATTTTGCGAGAAGTACGGCCAGTGCCCTCGCCAGGCGTACGCGCACGCGGCGAATCCGGTTTTTTACGCCGTGCGGGTTGAGAACAGCGTATCGCGTATGAAGTTTGACGAGTTGGATGCGTTGTTGAAGGCGTGCTACTCTGTGGACATGATAGACCCGAGGATACGCGAGTTGGTTGTGGCCACCCCTTCTCCGCGGCGTCGATGGACGTTTGATTTGGATGTTGCCACGCAATACCTGTGGGACCGCCTGGACGACACGTTCGATCGCTATCTGGATCGTGGACCGTCGTCGCTATACATTTTATTTCACGAGGAACCCCGCACGAGAGCCGCTGCTGAACGCCGATTGAAGAAGTTGCCCGACAGGCTGTCCGCAGGCGGAGGGTGGACTGTGTATCCCATGAAATGCCTGGAGTTCAAGGAGAAGAGTATGCGCTGGAGCTCGCAAATCTCGGATGATATGGATGTCGACGATGACAAGTACATCTGCCTAGGGTACAAGGGCAGCGCCGTGGGCATAGAGAACAGGTGGTACCCAGAGCAAGAGTTCGAGCGGATGGACACACACATAGTCTCATGCGGGGACGCACCGCCACAGAAGCTGAAGGATGGATTGTACACCCCGCACCCTGGATCCACAGCCCCTTTTGATACGTTCGCGTACGATGGCAGCACTGGGCGCGCGACAGTATTTGTGGTTGCTACCGTCGCGGAATGCAAGATGGTTTCGGTGAGCCTCGAATGGCTGCGGAGGTGCGACAACCTGAGGTCTGTGGATCTCGTGGTCGCGACTGTGCCAGTGCCTCTGGAGGACCATGAGATGCAGGTAGAGATCGCAAATGAGAGCGGTGATATTCTGCGCAATGTATACCACCTCACTGTGAACAGCCTTGATTAATTATCGTAGTTTTGTGGTTTGCCGTCACACGAGAACGCGTTGCGATCACCTGACCACGGGCGCCAAACCCCGGGAATGTCCTGGGACCTGCAGTGAGCGTGTTATCTGCCTGGTGGCGGGGCTCCGTCGAGAGCTTGGATGGCATGTCGAGACCAAGTCGTCTTCGCCTTCTGGCCAGTTGCCTATCACCACGATGTTGCGATGTCCCGTCCGAACAGAACCCCCCAACATACCCCATGCTCTCAGCCAGACGGTGTCTTGATTCTTCTTCACTGACATTTCTCAGATGCAGGCACTTCCTGTGGGACGCAGAATCGCCCGGGCGTGCTAGCGGAGGCATGCTTCTAGTCACTTTTGCTGCAGTCTACTGTGTCCGACGTACGTGACACGGTGGGACAGCTCGGTAAGCCGTGCAGTCATCTCTTACCCCGGAGCTAGCCTGGCACCTCCTAGAGCCCCGGGCTTCAGCCTTCAAAAGTTAGTCTTCATCCGACGCCCCTCCGACAGCCCAGCTGGGTGCGAAGCGAGGGTGCCATCTCTACCGCTCTTCGTCCTCTATTTTGCTCTTGGGAGCCTGCGAATACAGCGCGATGGTCGGTTTCTGGCTAGGTCTCAGGTACAAGGCGACGATGTTCAGACAGACACTCCCACCAAAAACGAGGTTCAAGACGGATCACATGCCTGATTTGACTGGGCGCGTGGTCATCGTGACAGGCGAGTGGTGTCCCTTCTGATGTATCCGGCGAGCGGGCGTGGCTGAGTCAAAAGGATGTGGCAGGGGGGAACACGGGCATTGGGAAAGAGACTGTCAAGGTGTGTCTATTTGTCCAGATGTGTCGAGCAGGTCTTTATCTGGGCCCTGTGCTGCCTTTCCACAATTTGTAGGCGCTCCTCGAACGTAATGCGACGGTGTATGTTGCCTGCCGAAATCGGGCAAAGGCCAAGGATACAATCGCGGAGTTGAGAGAGAAAACAGGGCGGGAGGCGATCTTCCTTGAACTCGATTTGGGTAGCTTGGCCTCTGTCCGCAGAGCCGCTGAAGAATTTATGAGGTCCGTTCTCAGTAGCGCGAACGCTTCGTTCGACTAACGTGAATCGATGCAGCATAGAGAAAGAGTTACATATCCTGTTTAATAACGCGTGAGCCTACTTCTGTTATTCAAGTGTTTACCCCGTCGTGTAACGTCCCATTATCGGACTTATGTGAAGAGGCGTGATGCGCCCTCCACGGGAGATGCTTACTTCCGAAGGCTATGACATGCAATTCGGGACGAATGTGATAGGTATTGAGAGTCAACAGTGATGATGCGTCAAACTCATATCCAATATCAGGGCATTTCTTCTTCACGGAGCTTCTCATGCCAGTTTTGCGAGCGGGAGCAGCCACATCTCCAGATGGACATTCTCGCGTCATTATAACCTCCTCCGTCGCAGCGTATCGGTACACGCTGAACTGGGATTCATTCAAAGCTGGGTCTGCGCGAAGGAAAATGTCGCCCCGGATCTTGTACAGTCAGAGCAAATTTGTATGTGTATGATGTCACCTGCACCTCTGCTGAGTCTGATGTAGCGTGAATACCAAGGCCAATGTTGTAATTGCCCGCGAAATTGCGAAGCGATATATCAACCAGGGCGTGGTGTCCATGTCGTGCAACCCTGGTTTGCTCCTGTCTCAAACTGGACGTAGTGATTGAATAATAACACATTCCTTGTAGGCAATATCCGGACTAACCTGAGACGTTACACCCCTGCAAAGTTCCACAGGCTGAGGGTTCGTCCTTGATGCTTGTTATGGACCACTTGACGGACGTATATCGCTTTGTAGGAATTCTTCTTGTATCCAGCTTCTCAAGGTGCGCTTACACAGCTATGGGCGGGAACAATGCCGGAGACATTGAAATATAATGGAGAGGTTCGCTCACGTCTTTCATAAATTTGCAATGTGTTCATACTGTAACCTGCTACCCCAGTATCTGGTACCGTGGACACGAGTGGGGAAGTGTAGAGAAGAGGCGTATGACGATGCGCTTGGTGAGAAGCTGTGGTCGTGGTTAGAAGAACAAATGAAAGGACGGTAGGGAGCATAGTACCTAACACTTTATATTCATATGCGAATTTCAAACTCTCCTCCGCTGGAAAATTACTCAGGCTGGATTGCAGACTCTCCAGCAATGCGCTAGTTCCTTTCCGACGAGCTTGAAGGTATGCATCTTACGGTGAGCCCGCTCTCGATGACCCAGAACAAGCACTGATGGCTATTGGCAGTCAGTAAATGAGCAGAACGACCGAGATGCTCGTATGTACTCATTGTTTTTCTTCGAAGTCATCGACTACAAACGGAATTATCACGTCCGGTACACGTTTCTGACTCGTAAGCCGCAAATCCAACCACTTTACTGCTTGGTACATCGCTTAATTTTATTTTTCTCTGTTAGCTTTTCATTTTTCATCTTTGGGCGTGAATGTTTTTTAATTCTTCGGGACCAGCTTTGTGATATGTTCCGCATAGACCTACGGATCAAGATATGGGGCTAGAAAGAAGTCACTCAAGGGTCTGTCGTAGAACTCGCTATTGAAAAATGCTGTACGGAACTTCTAGGTTTTCAAGAAATTACCGTGTGTATGGTCACCCCTCGCCGCCTTTAAACACACTGCGCTCTCGGGTTTTCTCCTTTGGAAACTTCACTGCCCTACCAAACAATCAACTTCCTCCTCTCGTCTCCCTCTATCTTCATGGTTTTAGGGATCGAGAGTTTAACGGCGAACATACCTCAGCTTTTTTCCAAGTCCCTCAACCCAGTAATACTGTCCCTGTGGCCCTTGAACCAAGAGCATAATGGTGAATTGGAGAGCGCGCGCCCAATCAGCTCGCTTGCTGAGATTGTGTCAGTTCGTGTTCGGATACGGTGCAAAACTGCCTTGGATCGCTTGGCTTCTTCCCCGAGTGGCCTTCCCCGCCTACATGGTGATGCGCATCGATTGCCTCTATTCGTGCAATAGCTGTCATGCGGTTACAATTTCTGCCCTGCCGTTGATATCAGGTTTTTCAAAATGCAGGATACATTTCAACAGTCAAAAGTTTTCTATCTTAGCCGCAGCAGGTCTATCACCGGGAATCCACCTTTGCATGGAAAGTATTTTCGCCGACGAAATCCCACCTCTTATGAAAGTGTATAAATTATGGGTTTTCGGAGGTGATATATCGCGGAGAGCAGCATTGTCTACATTCATCCTAGTCATCAAGCAGATCCCCACCATGAAAACGCTCGTCATTTTGAATGCTCTCGTGAAAGATATTAGCGAGATACAGTTCTGTGCCACGCCAAACGCCGAAGCCTTCGTGATGACTACAAAAATCTCGATTCGTGGCAACACAAAAATTCTGTTCAAGGATCCAGAATTTGGGGTGAAGCTTCACTCGGTCACGCTTTGCGAGCTCAACTACGTGCGTACTCACGAATTGCAATGTCGATCCCAATATGTTTCTAACCACCTTGCTATACATCTGCTACCATTCAAGATGAGATCCACAAACATATTTGTAAAGCTCATCAGTTGACGCAGTTGACGCAAGTGATTGAGGTGCTGAAGAATCCTGCTGATGGCAACATCTTCGCCCAAGCAAATCTCTCAGCCACTGATTAGCATCACGTGAATCAGGCTGATGGCCGTTGGCTACATTCATTCTGGATGTTTTTTCTTTAGTTTTCCCTCGCTGAGTTCAAGGAAATGTGTAGATATGCAGCAAACCCTTACAAAAAATAACACAGCAATCGTGCAAATGTAGATCGAAAGCAAGCTCACCGCTCTACAGCCCTGCTATTTGTAGCGATCGGTGCGGGTGCTCGAAACACTGATCTAATAGGCGTCATCTCACATCGACGCCTAAAACATTTATAATCCGGTCCCAAGTTTCTTTCCCATCCCCGCGAGGCTTGGTCGAAATGCAACACGCCAGTCTCCGGTACCTTAGCCGCATGCCTATCATATATGTCCGCGCTCCCGCTTCCCTATCCCTGCGCTGGAATCTGCTGAACAACATTCATAATGGTTCTGCCTCTCAAAACCATACTTTATGCTCTTCGCCAGGGCTTCCCGCCCAAATCCAAGTTTGCCACCAACCAGATCCCTGACCTCACTGGGCGCATCTTCGTAGTCACCGGTGCGTACGGCTGTCCATGTCGGCATCTGCATATCACTTCTTCACTTACGGACTAGCTATGCATTCTCGCAGGGGGAAACGTTGGAATAGGTCGCGAGACCATCAAAGTACGCGACAGTGGTCGTCGATGACACGTTTGTGACCATATTCGTGCGCATTTCAGGCCCTATTGGAGCATAATGCGAAGGTCTACATGGCGTCTCGAAGCCAGGAAAAGGCCGAGGCTGCGATCAAGGAGCTGAAGGAGCAGACAGGGAAGGAGGCACTCTTCCTTCAGCTTGATCTCGGTTGCCTTGCGTCTGTCCGGCGCGCTGCGGAGGAGTATTTGAGGTACACAACACATGTTATCGCCTCGCCTTGTATTAAGGCAATTATGCATCACAGCAAAGAAAAGGAGCTCCATGTGTTGATCAACAATGCGTCAGTCTCCTCTCTTGCTGAAGCTTACTTTTGACATAGTGAATCGATTCACAGTGGTGTCATGTGGTGTCCGGTCGACCTTCTCACTGAGGATGGATATGATCTTCAATTTGGAACCAATGTTATTGGTGTGTATTTTGCGGTAATATATGTTGATCACCGAGGACCAATGATACATACAGGACATTTCTACTTCACTAAATTGCTCATTCCCGCTCTCACCGCGGGTGCTGAATCGTCCGCGGACCACCGAGCACGTGTCCTTACCGTCTCGTCGACTGCCTCATATCAATACACCCTCAACTGGGACTCTTTGAAAGACGACGCTGTGAGAAGGAAAGTAGGAACTATGATGCTCTACGCCCAGAGTAAATTTGTGCGTCTTCAGCTTGCATACACTAGCATGAACCTAATCTCGTCATGCAGGCAAACGTTGTAGTCGCTCGAGAGTTCGCTAAGCGTTACGCGGATAAGGGAATTTTCTCTGCCTCTTTGAACCCCGGTGGGTCATGAATCAGACATCACCAATCAATTCAATACAAAGCAATGGACTCCATCTAGGTCACATCCGGTCTGAACTAAACCGTTACGTTTCGGCTATCTGGCGTAAGCTTGCGGTGAGTTCAACATAACAGCTGAACGCGTCGCTTGAAAGCCCATACTTAACACACTTTACCAGTACTATTTGACTCTCCATCCCACACCGTTAGGTGCGCTCACTTCGTTGTGGGCCGCCACCATGCCAGAGCCACTGGACCATAATGGCGAGGTATGCACCATTAACCCCCGTGATTCATATCGCTCTGAATGGTTGTATGGTTCTGCAGTTCTTTATCCCGTGGGCCCGGTTCGGAGTACCCAGGACAGAAGCGTATGACGACGAAATCGGCGAACGCTTGTGGAATTGGCTAGAGGAGCAAGTGAAGGACAAGTAGCCATCTTCGTAATTTTGATGCAGCCAGTGTGAAGCTGGCCACTGCCGTACTCTGATTTATACTACAGCTTGATGTTTTTTTGGGGGGTCTGTGCGGACCTTGCCAACCGGGATAAGTATCTTTGATTTTGGAAACCGGCTCCAATAGCTTTACAGTTACTCAACTAGTATTTGCCTTGCTATTCTCACCATATTAGTGAGTGAACCCCTTGTGACATTGATTACTAGTACTGGTCACATTTGCCAATACGATGACATTGTAAAAAGCGAAAGACTTGCACATTCAGGCTGTCTTACTCACCGATGGGTAAGCCAGACTCTGCGGGGTAGACGAGAAAATAAGCTTGAATAAGGGTCTGTCCGTTACCGTTGCGCTAGGTACGCAGGCTCATGCGAAGGGAAGATCGCCACTCTGGGCGGCAGAACTACTCCGAGTCGGAATCGATCCAAAACTCCGGAACATATGGAAGGTTGATCACGAGGCACACTGACGTCGGCCGCGGACAGGAACAGCCCGCTATCGAGTACAATGCTTCCTCCTGCTCCACAGTAAAGCGGACAAACAAGGCCACAACACCAGCAGCACAAAGGCAAGACGAGGGAAGGGGAGGGCGGCATCACTAATCCGGAACCGAACTTGCGGGCAGCGATATGGTCCGGCGGGCATGTGAGAGGCAGTGAGATGTGACATCTGAGCTAGGTGTGATTATAACGAGTACAATGGCTAGACAGCAAGCTCGCTGGTGTCGCGCAAGCATTGTTCGCGCATTCGAGACTGTCTTGGAGGGTGGGTAGCTTATCGAGACGCCGAGGTCCCCTTTCTTCGACAACGCCTCTAGCCCGTACTTCTGCATCGCCTCGCACTACGTCCACTCGTCAATCGATTACACTCATGTAGAAGACGAGCAATTTTAGTTGCAATAGAAATCATCCACCAAAGACACGAGCGACTGTGCACTCATTGGCTGCAGCGACTTCATTAAACCCTTGAGAACGATCGAGACTAGCGAAGTTGCCCGGATGTGCGCCCACAAAACAAGTTACTTTTGCGTCGCCTGGATACGATGGGTAAATGAATCTGTGATGTCGACATTGAGGAGCAGAGCCGGAGTGGCGTCCCGGGAAGCTGGCGACGCACGCTGGGAGTGGAGCAGTCACGCACGATCCAGCACAGCTCGGCGAATAATCATCGATGGAGGTCTTTCCGATTTGCACCACGGAGGCTAGGAAACTGACCAAGATGAGCAAGTACGACGATCAATGGGGGATATCCGCCATTGTCCGTTCCCCGTTCCCAATTGTGGTCCAAAATGGGACTAACTCGCGGCGAGCAGTGAGAAATGTCTGGGCTTGAAACCTCGTTGACGGTGATTTCACGGAGTTGGCTGCAGCGTTATACCGGGCCAGCATCCGGTCCCGTTCCTGCGGACGCGCCTCTGCTCACAGTTCATGTATGATCACATGATCGTATCCGATCTTGAGAGCCAAGGGCGAAAAATACTTCCGCTCGCGCACGGGAAGGTCTTCCAGTCACGGACTCAAGCTTGCAACCTGGCGTCGCGGGTGGGTGGGGAGAGGGATGGTCAACTCTCTGTCCTCATCGTACTGCCCTTGGGAAATACTCGCACCAGATAAAATCAGACGCAGGATGCAGCACTGACGAGAGGCGTAGTGGAGGGCGCCGAAGATTCGTGAGATGAATCGGGCCAAGGGGTGGCACGATCTGTTACACGAGGCGCGTCTTTAGAGACGCGACGCGACCCTGGGCGTCTGCTGCTCGTGCTGCAGTCAGTCCTCCGAACGAGCCTCAAAGTGTAGATCTTACCACTCGAATACGCGGAGGTATAAAGGCAGCATAAACCTTGCCCTCCTCCTCTTCCTCCTCCATCCTCCTTCTCCCGCATCATCTCCTCTCACTCATCAGCCACAGTGACGCTTCACCAGTGTCCTCGAACCACTCACCTCAACCAGCCACTCTACGCGTCCACTGACACCCCCTCCACCAACAATGGCACACTTGTTTCAGACCGTACCTGCCTACAAGTCTCCCGTCGTCTGGCAACCTGGGACTCCAGGCTCATCCTGGTCGCCTTCGTCCTCTGAGGCATCTCTAGGTCCCTCGACTCCCGAAGCGCCCAACGCCACTCGTCCTCATGTCACCTCACCCAAAGGCTCACCCCCACCCAAGCGCATCAGAAGTCCGCGAGGCCGTGCCAAGGAGCCGGGGCACATCCCTCGCCCCCCTAATGCCTTCGTTCTGTACCGCGCTGAACAAGCCAGGCTGCTCAAAGAGCGGCCCATCGAGAATGACCAGCGGAAGATCTCCGAGATAGTGGGGGCCGCATGGAAGAGCTTGGATGAGGAAGGAAAGAAGCCCTGGAGGGACCACGCAGACTTCCTCAAGCGTATGCACGCCTTGCAACACCCCAACTATCGCTACAGGCCGGTTGCGCGCACGGAGAAGCCCCGAAAGCGCAACGTGAAGCGCAACGGCCCTCAGGACAAAGCCCGCTGCAAGGCGATTGGGACGATGCTAGGCAGAGGCCATGCCATTGACGAGATAGAGAAGATGTCTGCGCAGATCGCTGAAAGTATGCGCGGCGAAGCCGAGGCAGAGGCCTCGGTACAGAACCGCAGCGGCCTCCCTGAGAGTGACAACTTCACCACCACAGTCTTCGACTCCAAGACTTGGGCTGGAGGGGCCACCGAGCCAGCATCTCCCTCCAGGCCTTGTCTTAGCCCCTTCAGAAGCCCCCTCATGGCACCCGCCGTCGAGCAGCCCACATCCTTGTTTGTGTACACTGCCGCCCCCGACGCCGGTCCATTGGTAAGTCTCGCGTCCGGTCTTTTGTCTGGAGCAGGCAATCTGACGCCGGCTTCACAGATTCCAGAGCTAACGACGATCGAACTGCCTGCCCTTCTGCAGCTGCCAGTACAAGCCACTACCCCCGACATAACCCCCGAAATCCAGATGCCATCGCCCGGGTTCTCCATGGAAATCGATTTGAACACGTCGAACCTGATGCCATTCGCATCTCCCGACACTGTGGACATGTGGATGGCCTCGATGGAATCCGCAAGCTGTCTGCTGCCTCCCGCTTCGCTCCCCACTCCGCAAATGGTCGACAACTTCTTCAACCCTATCAGCATCCCTACGGGCGAATGGGACCTGCCGGAGTCCGTCACCACGACTGTTGATCCCGAGCTTATGTTCGAAAGCTTCCTCGGGCTTGGTCTGTCGCCGGCGTGGATGGAACAGCAGACGGTAGACCAGGGGATGGGCCAGTACTATCCCGATGTGTTCCCCGTGGCGCAGGAACCCGGCATCGTCGCCCAACCCTCCGATTTGGACGAGTACTTCGATTTCGCTGCGATCATGCAACCTCAGTTCGACCTCACCGGTTTCTGAAGGTCGAGGACGTGAACATGGTCATGATGATACCTACGCGCAAACGCACCTCGATTTCGAGACGAACTCTGATTCTTCTGGAACTAAAGCGGTATAATAATCTTCCTCTTTCGTGTACCATAACGTTATTGCGTACTTATTCTACCTTTTTCCAACCGCGTTCCTCGAGGGCTGTTTTCACTTGCTACATTCTCAAAGTACTCGGACTTCTTTCCTCACGAATTTGGACTATACCATACAGATACCCTCGCGATTTTCTTATTCCACCGTAGGCAGTATCGTGGATAGGTATCACGTGTCTTCGTTCTTCTCTGCTTTCTCGCATTTGTATCATTACTAGCTTATCTTGTACTTGCACAGTCAATTCGAATCTATTTCCACGGTCAATTTCTTTAAGCAACAAAATCAGCCGCAGCCACGAGCGTCACCGAGCATGAAACTCACCGCCCTATATTACAATGCTTTCGAATGACGGTAAACACCAGAGAATCTTGAGACATCAGCTGCAAGCCCGAACCATGAAAAGTGCACTCATCTCGTTCACCAAATCACGAATCCGCCGGCGGCGCATCCTCAGACAAGACCTCGAACGCACGCACGCCCAGCCGTCCCAGCAGAGTAGCACACGCAACCGCACACGCGCCCGCCGCGCGCATCCTCCGCGCCGCCGCGCGATCCGTCACGCCCC